AAGACAATCAAGTGCGCCAATCGTTGTATGGTTATATTAAGTTAAGAGAGTGTCGGTCTTTCCTTTTGTTTAAAAACACTGTAAATGATACGAACAAGCGCTCATCATAAGTAAGATTTCTTATCGGAATGTACTAGTAACCGGGGATAAAACGTCTAAATTGTGTTTGTGATAATCAAGTCTTCTTCCTGAAAGCTTCCAAAAAGGTAATAATGAACGGAAGTAGCAGTTGCTTGTTATTGTATAACATGGTATACATTGAAGCATATATGCTTGCAAGATAAGATACAAAATTGTCTTTATCTACTGAAAAATAGATTTGAAATTCGATCAAGCTGTAATATTTTTGTCCAACAACTTCAAGCTTACTTTGAATTTCTATTTCACTGAAAATGAAAGGTCACAATTTTTCCAACTGAATTGATTATTGTTATTATTATAACTATAAGCTGATTAATGATAAATATTAAACAAAAAATTTCTCGGGCTGTGCGCTGTATATACAGTGGAGAACGGAAACGCGCACAAATAACATGGCTTCCTACATCATAGACTGTTAACAAAACTAGATAATTGCGTTTTGTTACTTTTATGTCAAAATTGTTAACTTCACTGATATAGAAGAAAGTTTCATCGCAATGATAACTATATATACTTGGACTATTTTTGTTCGGAAGCATTCGCAAGGAGTGAGACAGCGTTGGAGCACCACACTAAATATTATTTTCCGGTATATTCCGGAGCTTCCAGCGGGTTAATACATGACTCGTTGGTTATTTTTATGTCCCAAAATATACATGAACACTTCTTCTTGTTTGAATGCCTTTACAAAATACAGAGTAAGCACGATGAAAACCAAGTTATTTTTTCAACACTTCTTGTATTTCCTGAATTACACTAACCTATTAATACCAGCAGGGACAGAGTGAAATTTAGCGCACTTACTATGAAGTCGCTTTCATCCGCTATCAGGGGAAAACCGAAGAAAAATTAATAGTATCTAAATAAATTATACGCGGTCTGAGATAACATGTATGATATGTATAAGTTAAATTGAAATAACATTTTAATCCAGTTAAAATATAATGTCTTATTATAACATGTTAGAGAAAAAGCCTTAGTTAACTGGACGCTGCCAATTTGAAACTCTTGGACTGGTACTATATTTGAGTTGTAATTAGATTTCAAGACGCTTTTGAAAAAAAAATGTTGTTAAAGCGCCAACAAAATTCAGACAGTTGTTAGTGGCAGTCTTCTGTCCCGAAGAAGACTTCCGGTAGAAGTATGATGTAGAAAATCAGTAAATAAACATTATAATCATTTAGAAGAACTGAAGTAACGATGATGAACATAAGAAATTACTTTTTAATATCCATTTTGATAAATCATCACGTTTGAATAAATTAAAAACTATTTTGATTAGAGATTAACAAAATAAGCGGATGAGATATTCGGAAATACTCGGAATACTTCAATGATAGGCTGGACATCACCTATTCATTCGTATCTTAAAATCTACTCATTATTTGACATATCCTGTGTATATATTGAACACTTTATGCTTGTTATTAAATCATGAAGGCTTTCTGCGTCTCATAGCTCCTAATGTCATATTACAATTGTACGAGTACTTATTTTCAAATGTAGGAGAGTAATTAAAATAATTTGAAAACATACGAGATACACGTATAAGAAAAGATCTATTTCAGATACTTCAGGATATATGATTGGTGTCGAGATTTATCGAGTCAAGATTCACATTCGTAACGACCAGGACAAACCTCCGATCCCCAAAATCAACCATATATTCGAATAATCCTTTTTAGCCTAGTTTTATCATGTTTTTTATATTATTTTGATAGTACCATTATTATTCTTTCCCGACAAAACAGCTTCAACTTGTAATTTAGGTTTGCCGCATCACCGCCTGTATTTAAAGTAGATGTTGCTCCGCGTAAGAAAAGTGTTCCAGTAATTTCCTTAAATAAAAACCTTTTTCACAAATACTCAAATTAATTTCCACCAAACAATTTCTTTCACATTATAATATATACTTCAGCCAATAATTAACATAAAATGCAATTAAGGTAGAACGCGACACTAGCGTCATGTAAAATGTTGACATATTTCAGATTAGATTCCGTTGGATTTTTTTTAATAATTTCAGCCAATTTTTGTACAGGACGTCAAAGTTGACCAACAAAGACCGTTCGCTGCGTATCCTTGACAACTGTTACGGGTACTTCCTAGCCAACGGCAAATACATTATCTTAAATGCTGCTGTATTCAACGGAAATTGTTTTATTTTTCTTTATGCTGAAATTTGTGTTAAAATTCCGCCATAAAAGACATTATGACCACTGCAGATATACCGAAGTGTACGGAATTCTACATAATTTTTTTATAAATAGGTCTGAAATTTAAAATACGGAGGTGTACAGGGCCGTATATCATGCAATACGTACATGACAAATATCGTTATTCGTACATTCGAAATATACGGCAACTTTATACTTTACTTAAATACGGATCTTTTTATTAAAAGTCCGCAAATTCCTAGCATACAAAATTTCGTAATCTTGCAAATACGGATTCTGTATACAAAAATAAAGAACCAAGATGTAATCCTGAATTACCATTTTCTTTTAAAGGAAAGAAATAGTGTGATCTGACATTTGTCAGAAAACATAAAAAAGTAAAGCTTTAAATAAATGTAATATTTTCCGGTTTTATTAACATGTCAATTGCATACTGATTATATGGTCAGTGAACAGAACATATAAACATCAAAAGAGACTCGACAGTGTCCGTAGCAAGTACAGACAAAAGAACCTACTCAAATTTCCCAAATTTTTTCCGAATGGAACTGTCCTGCACTGAAAGAAACCAACTAAACTTTATGTCAAGGACAATATTTGAAGAACATGTGTCAAATGTGTATCTTTAAAGATTTTTGTTTATTCATTATCTACAATTTGAGAATGTTTTCTTTTAAGGCAACAATGAGGCATACAAATGTGAAAAAAGAACAAATCTGACAAAAGTTAAAAAGATGACCACTTACGGAAATTCATTTGCAGTGTAATATAACGTAACGTAACGTCAACATGCACGTCAGTGTCAATGACCATTCAACGTTGGAAAACATGACAGTTTTGAAAAGATTAGGTGCAATAAGTTGATTCTTAAAAAATGTTCAATAAAATTGAAATTCTTGTTGAATTTCGATCTTCGAGCCAGCTCGAAATTCAACTCCAGCTCGAAATTCATCTTTTGAAAATTTTGAATTTCGATCTTCGAGCTGGCTCGAAATTCAACTCCAGCTCGAAATTCAACTTTTGAAAATTTTGAATTTCGATCTTCGAGCTGGCTCGAAATTCAACTCCAGCTCGAAATTCAACTTTTGAAAATTTTGAATTTCGATCTTCGAGCTGGCTCGAAATTCAACTCCAGCTCGAAATTCAACTTTTGAAAATTTTGAATTTCGATCTTCGAGCTGGCTCGAAATTCAACTCCAGCTCGAAATTCAACTTTTGAAAATTTTGAATTTCGATCTTCGAGCTGGCTCGAAATTCAACTCCAGCTCGAAATTCAACTTTTGAAAATTTTGAATTTCGATCTTCGAGCTGGCTCGAAATTCAACTCCAGCTCGAAATTCAACTTTTGAAAATTTGAATTTCGATCTTCGAGCTGGCTCGAAATTCAACTCCAGCTCGAAATTCAACTTTTGAAAATTTTGAATTTCGATCTTCGAGCTGGCTCGAAATTCAACTCCAGCTCGAAATTCAACTTTTGAAATTTTGAATTTCGATCTTCGAGCTGGCTCGAAATTCAACTCCAGCTCGAAATTCAACTTTTGAAAATTTTGAATTTCGATCTTCGAGCTGGCTCGAAATTCAACTCCAGCTCGAAATTCAACTTTTGAAAATTTTGAATTTCGATCTTCGAGCTGGCTCGAAATTCAACTCCAGCTCGAAATTCAACTTTTGCAAATTTTGAATTTCGATCTTCGAGCTGGCTCGAAATTCAACTCCAGCTCGAAATTCAACTTTTGCAAATTTTGAATTTCGATCTTCGAGCTGGCTCGAAATTCAACTCCAGCTCGAAATTCAACTTTTGCAAATTTTTGAATTTCGATCTTCGAGCTGGCTCGAAATTCAACTCCAGCTCGAAATTGAACTTTTGAAAATTTTGAATTTCGATCTTCGAGCTGGCTCGAAATTCAACTCCAGCTCGAAATTCAACTTTTGCAAATTTTGAATTTCGATCTTCGAGCTGGCTCGAAATTCAACTCCAGCTCGAAATTCAACTTTAGAAAATTTTGAATTTCGATCTTCGAGCTGGCTCGAAATTCAACGCCAGCTCGAAATTCTACTTTTGAAATTTTGAATTTCGATCTTCGAGCTGGCTCAAATTCAACTCCAGCTCGAAATTAAACTTTTCAAAATTTTGAATTTCGATCTTCGAGCTGACTCGAAATTCAACTCCAGCTCGAAATTCATCTTTTAAAAATTTTGAATTTCGATCTTCGAGCTGACTCGAAATTCAACTCCAGCTCGAAATTCAACTTTTGCAAATTTTGAATTTTGATCTTCGAGCTGGCTCGAAATTCAACTCCAGCTCGAAATTCAACTTTTGAAATTTTTAAATTTCGATCTTCGAGCTGGCTCGAAATTCAACTCCAGCTCGAAATTCGCCTTAAGCTTACTTTGAATTTCGATCTTCGAGCTGGCTCGAAATTCAACTCCAGCTCGAAATTCAACTTTTGAAAATTTTGAATTTCGATGTTCGAGCTGGCTCGAAATTCAATTCCAGCTCGAAATTCAGCTTTTGTTTACTTTGAATTTCGATCTTCGAGCTAGCTCGAAGTTCAAAGCTAGCTCGAAATTCACTAGAAACTGAATTTCGATCTTCGATCTTCGATGTCAGTGCCAACTTCTCGATACTGTAAAAATATGATTTTTAAAGATAAGAAAGTGAAAAATAGTCCTCATATTTACCATGACACTTGGATATAAACGCCAAAACCAAGAAAATAACGCCGAGGTTTTTCTCACTATCCATATTTTAAACGCGTAATAACGGTGCGTTTTATCTTCGGTTGAGAATTACTAACGCACCCTTCGATTTTATTTAAACAAGTAAAGATGAATTAAGCTGTATTATTCAAATTAACAGCAGTATAAAACAATTGACGAATACAGGTTGTTTTTTCCGCGATAATTATGTTTTTGTATTTGAAATCGCAATGTAATTGTTAATTAAGAAACAAAATGAAAGTGGTGAAATTGATTACAATTAGCTTCATTTGTCTTAAGTTACCTTAATCATACATTATCAATCAAACAAAACTTTGTATATAAACGTGTTAAGATTTACAATCAACGTAAAGTTATTCATATTCGATTCCCCATTTTTTATGTGATTTCAACTTGCCTAAAATAGAAGATCTACGTGAATAACATTGCGCCATTAAAGTGACATTATGTTCATTTTTTCTTTGTCAAATTGAGGTGAGTAAGATATATACGGAAGCGTCCTGGTGCCAATTTAACATTTTAAATTAAAAAAAAACTCCTACGTAGAACCTAGGAGATAAAAAAAGCCTAATTAGGAGTTTATAACTCCTACGTAGGACTTTGTAACTCCTACGTAGGACTTTATAACTCCTACGTAGGAGATATAAAAACCTAATTAGGAGTTTTAAAGTCCTACGTAGGACTTACAAACTCCTACGTAGGACTTTTTAACTCCTACGTATGAGTTAAAAAAGCCTAATTAGAAGTTAATAACTCCTACGTAGGACTTTATAAGTCCTACGTAGGACTTTATAACTCCTACGTAGGACTTTATAACTCCTACGTAGGAGATAAAAAACCTAATTAGGAGTTTTTAAGTCCTACGTAGGAGTTTAAAAGTCCTACGTAGGAGTTTATAACTCCTACGTAGGACTTTTTAAGTGTTCTTCTATTTAAAGTCCTACGTAGGAGTTATAAACTCCTAATTAGGCTTTTTTATCTCCTACGTAGGAGTTACAAAGTCCTACGTAGGACTTACAAAGTCCTACGTAGGAGTTATAAAGTCCTACGTAGGAGTTATAAACTCCTAATAAGGCTTTTTTAACTCCTACGTAGGAGTTATAAAGTCCTACGTAAGAGATTGTAAGTCCTACGTTGGACTTTAAAACTCCGAATTAGGTTTTATATCTCCTACGTAAGAGTTACAAAGTCCTATGTAGGAGTAACAAAGTCCTACGTTGGAGTTATAAACTCGTAATTAGGCTTTTTCATCTCCTACGTAGGAGTTATAAAGTCCTACGTAGGACTTATAAACTCCTACGTAGGACTTATAAACTCCTACGTAGGAGTTATAAAAACCTACATAGGACTTTATCAGTCCTACGTAGGAGTTACAAACTCCTAATTAGGCTTTTTAATCTCCTACGTAGGATTCTTTTTATAGAACATTATGAATTGGCACCAGGACTCTTCCGTAGATATATATTTTTCAAAGTTTGACTGTTTTAATGGATAATTACAAATGTTTACGATAAGATGTAAAATTGCCTATAGGAATAAAATATTAAAAGACTGCCCCATTCTTTTTATAAACTGAGCGTTACCGACATATTCGGAAAGATATTGCATGATAATCATGAATTGGGAATATGAAATTGGATTCGCCCCACTTTAGGCATGCTTTGTTACAACCTGTAAAATTATTGCAAAACTCGTTTTTTTGTAACAGAGCATTATATATTCATTATTTCCGAATATATTCCCTGCATGTCAATCCTGATATACATAGATAAATTTTATAATGCCTTTTGTATAATCTCAATAAAATCCGATAGAAAAAATACTTTATTGCAAAACTCGTTTTTACTGCAAAACCGGTTGTGATCAAATTGCAATAAAATCATGTTAACGCAACGAGTTTTGCAATAAAATTATTGCAAAACTCGTTTTTATTGCAAAACTGGTTGTAACAATGCTTCTCCCACAAGTGATTAAGTGTTATACCAACAGTAGAATATACTATATTCTACGCTGGTGGATGCTGGGTTTCAACATTTTTAATATATATAAATCAGAACTATTATGCAAAACAAAAAAAAAATTTGAAATGTTTTTTGAAGGGATTTTTGGAATATTGTAATTTAATTCTCCTCCAAAAGTTTTAAAAGAAAGAAGTCAAAATAAAATATATAGAAGTTTATTTGTTTCCATAAATAGATTAGAAGACATGTTTATTTCCTTGCATTCCATCTATGTGCAAGTGTGGACATAAATCGCTTGGTTATACGCATCACGTGTTAATCTGTTAATCCGTTGACAGAACAGATATCAAGATTGCAAGATTTTTTTAAGGATGGGTGATAATGCAAAAATTTCACAATAAAACATTCGGATTATTGTTTTATTCAACAGAATTGTGAACAAAAATGTCTATACAGGGTCATCTGTTTTATATATGTATTTACATGTACATTATACATGTATATTATGATTAAAGTACATAACATTACAGAATCATTCTCTCGTCACTGTATAAACCATACCAAATCTGATAATAATCCATGCATTATTTGTTTATTATATATCTATCTATCATTATATTTGTTGTCGAGATATATTAAAAACATTTTATCTATTTTTATTAAAAAAACAGTAATGTTTTCGTCTTTTTTATTCAAATACATTAACATTTTATCTCGTTTTATTCAGAAACACTAACATTTTATCTCGTTTTATTCATGTAGTCTAACATTTTATCTCGTTTTATTCAGATACACTAACATTTTATCTCGTTTTATTCAGATACACTAACATTTTATCTCGTTTTATTCAGATACACTAACATTTTATCTCGTTTTATTCATATAGTCTAATATTTTATCTCGTGTTTATTCAGATACACTAACATTTTATCTCTTTTAATTCTGATACACTCACATTTTATCGCATTTTATCCAAATGCACTAACATTCATTGTTCGTTTTATTCAAACACACTAACATTTTATCTCGTTTTAGGCAAATACACTAACATTTTATCTCATTTATTCAGATACACTAACATTTATATATCTTTTAATATATACACACTGACATTTTTATCTCGTTTTATTCAGATATACATGTACTTACATTGTTTTCTTATTTTATTCAGATAGTTGTACATGTTAAAACACTGATGAAATAAAAAGATTGCACTAAATCACGGGGGAGGAAGTGTTACACGAAGGATGGAGTTCTTATGATAACTTGTTCAGGAGTTCTTGTGATAACTGTCACGGAGTTCGTCGGAAAACATCTGTATATAGTACAAAAACACTCACAATAAAAGGTTATATCTTCATCTTTCAAAAATGAGTTTTAGGTGCTAAATTAAACTTTTACAATTAAGCTTGTCTTACATCTTATATTTTGTGTCAAAAACTAATTCACAGGCCATTTTTAATCGTCTCTTGCTATAAATCTTGTAGTTTTCAGTAAAATTTCCAAATTATTTGCCAATTCACAAGTATTGACCGGTTTATTTCTGGTCTTCATCCTTGCCATACATAATTACCTAATTATAATGCAAAATTGCAAACATAAAGCACTGGCTAACAGATTTATACGCGATTTTTCAAATGTCCCGGAGTTCTTGTGATAACTCAGAAGATGTCACAGAGTTCTTATGATAACTTTTGTTATTGCCAGTGTGTTTTTTGCGCTAAATCACGGCACGTTTTAGTGTTTTTTATTATTCAATGAGATTGTTAATCATTATGAAATGTAGTACGCTCATCCTTTGCACAAAAATAGGATAAATAATGTTGGTGTTGAGTGAATTTTAGTTCAAGAGATATTTGTACCCCCGTTTCTTTTTCAAAGTTTTTTATGTTTGACGCAGATTTTGTAGACTGGAAAAAGGATTTATGTACTGGTTTCCTAGCAGTTTCCGGCTCCTAACAGTATTCTGGCCCTTTATCATTTTCATCCAGGCATACAGACTGTTTTTTCTCAGTTAAGCATCTATGTTACTGCATCAATCAGAGAAACATTTGTTTTCTATGTAAAACAGCAGTTATAATAGTACAGCGATTAATATGTTTCAAATTTTTGTCTGTTGTTTTAAGTTACATTAGAGAACTTGCGACACTTAGTTACAAGCAACACCTGGGGAATTTTAGTTTGAATGTCCATTCACAATAACTGAAATCCCATTCTAGGTAAATCACTACTTTTAAACAATATATTTGCAGACGACACGGAAAAGTTTGGGAAGTTATATCTATTTGAAAAACCCAAGCTTAAAATTGCTTATTGGTACTGAATTATATTCAAAATAAAAAATAAAAAAGGTCCGAAAAACTGCTATGAAATTTTGAATAAATGTGTGGTACCTTACTTTGTTCTGTCAAAGTTTACACTCTTCGGTAAACAGATTTTTATTTAATTTGTTAAAAAGTGCGATTTGGGGCCGGGAACTGCCACGAAACCAGTAGGGCATTTATGTACGTGATAAAATGCGCTTTGAAATACTCAAAATATGGTATTTTCATGTATATTTTTCTGTCGATGTTTGATGAGTATTTCCCCTATGTAATCTAAGTGGAGGAAACTCTGCTACTTTTGCTGTAATTGATAACAAAAATATATAGTCAAACTTAGTTCGCACAGTTCAAATTTGTTGGAGAGATCGGTAGTTAGAGTCAACCGCAGTTGAGTTTTTATCATGTATCGTACTTTTTAAGGACATATGAAATTATCATGGTTATATACTTATTTATTATGGTTTAAAATGATACAAATTACTTAGCCCTTAGGTAGGGGAAGCATTCCTATATATTGTCTGCTTAAGAAAGGTGGTTGCTTAAAACATGTGAAACTGAGAACAACGTTATGAGTATAAGTTTTGAGACATTTTTGTTTTATGGTTTAAGCCATTATACTGCTGAATATCAGTGGCCGCTGGTTCAATTTTTACTGTAGATGATAGCCTATCACCTATTTGTTCTTTGCCAACGTTTTATCCACATTTTTGTGCAAAAGATAATCGTACTGCATTTCATAATGATTTACAATCTCATTGAATAATAAAAAACGATAAAACGTGCCGTGATTTAGCGCAAGAAACACACTGGCAATAACAAAAGTTATCATAAGAACTCTGTGACATCTTCAGAGTTATCACAAGAACTCCGGGACATTTGAAAAATCGGGTATAAATCTGTTAGCCAGTGCTTTATGTTTACAATTTTGCATTATAAAAAGGTATTTATGTATGGCAAGGATGAAGACCAGAAATAAACCGGTCAAAACTTGGGAATTGGCAAGTAATTTGGAAATTTTACTGAAAATTACAAGATTTAAAGCAAGAGGCGATGAAAAATGGTCTGTGAATTAGGCTTTGACACATAATACAAGATGTAAGACAAGCTTAATCATTAAAGTTAATTAAGCACCTAGAACTCATTTTTGAACGATGAAAATATACCTTTTTGACGAGTGTTTTTGTAGTATATACAGATGTTTTCCGACGAACTCCGTGACAGTTATCACAAGAACTCATGAACAAGTTATCATAAGAATTCCATCCTTCGTGTAACACTTCCTCCCCCGTGTAAATGTAACTTTTGTACGAAGTTGTAAGTATCAAAAACAACAATACAATATCATTTGGTACTCCTTTACAAGTTCACTCAGGTCATTACTATAAGTCTTTATTATGCTATAGAATATCAAAAATACTTCTGACTAGACCATATTATATTGCACTGTTATAATATATTAAATAATATTAAATATTAATATACAATATACATGAAAATGGTATATCAATTGACGAATTGCTTTTTGGGATGTAAAAGAAAAATATAATTGACTCAGTATAAACGGTTTGTGATATGCAGTGAAAACTCTGGTTTTTACACTAAAAACTTTCAACAGATTTTTAAAGTGAATGCTGCGTTTTCTGATATATTTTTAAAGATCGAGTTATTGAAATACATACGTATTTACATAATTTGATAAATACAAAAAATAGAAATGATTTAATTTTAGTTGACAGTATATGAATGCATTGTTTGTGTACTCGTATATAACTAGCAAAGTCAATATCAACTTTCCTAATCTAACAAACAAGTAAGGAAATTTCTTGCACTTTCTGATCCAATAAAAAAAAACAGTTAATCACAAGGTATATCTAAAAAAAACAACAATTTACGTATGTAATGAGCAAAACTTTGGCAACTAAAAGATTTAACGCATCGGTAGCAATTACAATTAAAGCATATTTAACTTTAAGAATATTGCTATGAAAAGCATACGTAGCTACTAGAACAAAACTACTATGTAAATCATTCAGAGCTACGTAATTTGCTATCTAAAGCAGCTACAGCAAAAACAATCCCTAGGTAAATCCATACAGACCAACTTGAAAACGTTATGTAAATCATACAGACCAACTGAGAAACGCTATGAAAATCATACAGAGCAAAATAGAAACGCAATGTAAATCATACAGATCAACTACGGAACGCTATGTAAATCATACAGAGCAACTTAGTAACGCTGTGTAAGTAACGCTGTGTAAAGTATATTGTAAAACTTCAACAAAACAAGCTATGTAAACTGCTTTGTAAAGTTATCCTTAACAATTACAGCAAAATCATTATGAAAAAATTCAACAAAACGCTATGTAAACAACAATTTGTATTGTAACTATTTTATTGCAATGCCAACACGTTATTTATGTCACAGCAGTCAATTCGACGGTTTAGATTATTTCCCTAAGAATGACCACCATTGATATGCATTTAGCAGTCCTTTCATACATGTTTCATTGTGTAAAAATAACCTTAAACAAATAGATACAAAATTAGACACACATTTCAATAACAGTTCATTTATAAACAACACCATCAATTACAAAAAACAGCAACACCAATTATACATATACACACGAAAGCAACATTAATTATGCACATCAACAACAATTTAACAAAATCAAAGACATTCATATAAAACATTTATAAAACATTATTTTTTTTACAATAAATCAACAGGTCATAAAATAATATATTCTATCTGATACATAATAAATTCGTAAATTTTGGCACATTATATTGAAATATGATATAAAGGCGAAAATGTCAAGGATACTCCTAATTTAAATGTACTTATGTTTTTATCTCAAAATAGACAAAGTGCCGTGCACAGATCCAGTGGGCGGGGGTTGGGGGAGGCTAGGGTGTCACGGGGATTTGGCTAGTATGTTATACCCCTCGGAGATTTGGGTATAAACCTACATTTTTAAGCGAATATCATGCAAAAAAACCTAGTGAAAATCAGCTAAATATTTATTCATGCTTGTAAAATGCGCCCCCATTCCCCCCGGAACACCTATTGTAGAAATGATGGGGCTCTGGCTTACAAATGCCTTCAAGTGTGCATGTTAGTTCTGCACCCACTATGACACATTAGTATATCTATAAAAAATGTTGCCTAAAGAAAAACGAACGTAAAGTAAGATGAATCGTTGCAAGGTCAATGTCAAGGTTAAAGGCAATCGATTAATTTAGGCTCGGTAAGTGACTAAATTATCCATGTTTTCAACTTATTTTCTATACAGAATGAATGGATGACATGAATTAAAATAACTTTAATCAAATTTCAGAAGAAATGACTAACGCAGATAAAGAATGATGATAGGAAATAACTTAAATTTTAGACTCTTGTGTCTAAAGATTATAAAATTCATGAATATGTCATTCAAAGAAATGTTTTTCTTTGTATTGTATCAAATGGAGAAGATAAGGTACAGTTGAAATGGTTATTTTTAAAGATGAAAAGAGGCTTTTTAAAAACAACTCAGCTTTAGAAAATTTTGTATGCGTAACTTTTCCTCTATTCCGTTCGATTCGTTTGGGCGCGTTTAAATAAATGTAAAGATAAATTTTAAATATATCTACAAACATAAAAATATATAACACTTTAATTAAAATAGGCTTGAGTGAATGATTTTAAACTACGCAGTATGAAGGTTAAAACATATATATTAAGTGAAACAATAATGATGTGAACCATTCATGGTTATCAATCAAATAATTTTTTGTTTATAAAGTCATTAAAAAGTAAAAAATAAATTCATTTGATATCGTTATCCTAGGTAATAAGTTATCGGTCAAAATTTACAAAACTATGGTGGCTTGTATTAGCCATTTATAATTATGCCACTCGGAATAGCGATAACACTACAAAGTCACTATCTGTTGAGTTTTCTAATTATTGCATTTCCGTTCGATTGGACGAATATGTGAAAGATAAAATGAAAGTGAATGTACGTCAAATAAAATGCCGAAAGTACATAAACATTTTGACTTTGTCGTTCTGTCGTGTTTTCGAACTCTTGCCTTTTCGCCCGCCACGAGAAGAAAATGGCACTATCGGTACACCATACCAAAATAATTATTCAAAGACGGTTCAATGAACTAAAGGTCAATGGTTTTTAAAACAAGTCAGATAACCTGCCGTATAAACTGATGATAACACTGGCTCTACAAACATGTTCAGATCACAGCATGGCATGGAGTGTTATAACAGACGATCTTGTTGATATTGATGGACTACTTAAAATCACTGCATATTCGTTTAATGCCTGTACAAAATAAAATCGGTACATGTTATGTTACTGTTTTTCAAAAGTATCTGGCAAAAGATGCTCCCGTCTTGTTTTTATTTTTGGTGCGAGGGTTTCTTCTGCTCCTTACGTATTCTTACGTATGTCGGCATGGCCGAGTGGTTAAGAAGACGGACTAGTAATCTCAGGTGTGCTGGCTGCGTAGGTTCAAACCCCATTAGGGGCAAGCCTTGATTCCTTGAGCAAGAAATTTTACACTCATTGCTCAGTAGTGCTTGGTTCAGGAAAGAATTCGAGAACTTTTAATTAGCTTATATAGCTTCCAACATTATCGTACTAAAATAAATTGTGTATAAACTTAAGTTATTTCACGAAGTTCTTGTAGAAATTTAATTGTAATGTTAATATTTTAATTTTTGTTTTAAAAAAAAGTCGTAAAATATAAAAAGTATGATTAATAGTTGTTTGTTTGAAATCTATTCCTTATCACATTTAAATGAATGATCAATTATTAAGTTGTTTACTTGATTATAAATTTATAAGTGTTGATAAACAACATGTAAATACAAATCTTTACATCTCTAACTATAACAATTATCAGTAAAGTACCAGAAACCATGTGAAAAAAGGTCTAAACCATCACTGAGAACATATAGATAATTGACACATTGTGGCCTAGTGGTTAAGGTGCCTCTCAACCCAGGAATCATGGGTTCGAGCCCTACTCGGGTCACGAGCATGTTTCTTCATACACCAGTACTGGTTGGTTCCAGGAAGCGGACTCGAAAATGATTAACATAAGTTGTGAGATCTTGTTCCGCAATCGAGCTTGAGTAAAAATGTTTAAACGAAGCAGCGATAACACTTCAACAAACCTGATATATAAGGAAGTACTGTTCTTTTGTTTGCACGGCCCCTGCTCTCTCACCCCTCAGTTTATGTACACAGCTTTGAATGTCAACTCTTCTACGATCTTCAAACATTCTCATACAAATATCTACAGCAATAAACGTACCTGTGCGACCTGTACCAGGACTAAAGAAAATTTGAAAATGATTATTTTGTGTAAAAAAAAGATGACAGTGGTAGCAAATATAAAAAAGAAATTAATGGAAGTGTGTACGGAACATGATTAAGTCCTACCTGGCAATAATAAATAAATTAACATTATATAGCTGATTATCCATGTATACGATAAATAAAGTTGTTAATACTTAAAACAAATCCTCAATATATGTAATTCATCAATTAATCATCAAGGCCGCACATGACAGCAAATTTGTCTTTTTAAGCGCAACATTAACGCAGTTCAAAAACATGACATACATTTAAATTTTATGATACACCAATGTGTGTTCTTGCTCTGATATACTCGTATTTATGCTGGTTTTATATCAAAAAGTTGTGATTTTCTATCCATTGTTCAATCAATTTTTATGTATTTTCCTGATAAAAACTAAAGAAATGCAAATTCAATAACGTACTTTATGAAGAAAATGTGTTTTTTGACAACTGTTACTAAACATTAATAGATACTGTTCAAAACGGCAACATAGATGCCAATTGTTGTTTCACCTTTGAAAAAAAGAACAGAACAGAACTTACCCACAATGCACGAGTGCCGGAGATCCGCTGTTCTCGTAATGTGGTCTTGTATCTAACACAAACTTGACAAACGTTAATGGTTCTGGTGGACCAGTGTCCGACCAACATGTGAACCAGAAATGATGAATTTCTCGTTTTAAATTTTTCTGCAAAAGAAATGAGGCAATGACTGTTATAGTGTATATTCTTAAATGACGAGTTTTTGTATAGTACTCGGCAGTCGTCGAAGAGTGGGTAGTCTAAATCAAATAACTTAATAACCATCGCACGTTTGTGTCCACTCACTGGTAAGTAACAATATAAACTAGGTTTTTAGACGAGACGATTTTTAATGAAAATTGAAGAGTCAAACATACAGTATTAAAAATGCATTACTATTCAAGGTGATATTATGTCCACAATCTATGGATACAGATAAAACTAATTTTTTTATCATAATTTTCTATGTAGAATATCGATCCATATAAATCATATTCCTATATCAATAATTTTCAATGTACAATATCGATCCATATGAATTTTATTTCTATATCAATAATTTCCAAAATACAATATGGATCCATATAAAACTTCTGTATCAATTACTACTAATGTACAATATGTATTCATATAAAACTTACTTCCTATTCAATAATTTTTCCCAAAGTACAATTTAAAATTTAATTTTTGTTGGGAAAATCCCCCTTCTTTAAAGTTACTTTTATAAAACTTGGGAAATCCCCCTGGGTGTTGTCTCCCGGGTTGTCTGGCCAATAGCATTTTGCTTTTTTTAGGTAATATAGAAAAACCCAAAATTTTAAAACTCCCAAATTTAAATCTCATTGTTTTTAAAGGTCTATATAATTTTTAAAAAAATTTGTTTTTAAAACTCTTTTGTTTAGCCATAAATGGTTTGAGTATAAACACAGAGATGAGCAACAGCACTAAACTTCCCTGATACTTTACACCTGGCTTCCAGTTGGGCTAATTTCAAATAATTATGGTGGCTGAATTGTGCCATATAAACTTTATCGTGTTTTCGCCTTTGCGCTCGGCGAAGTGAAAGTACGACGAAATGTTGACTTCGTTGTATTTTCGTGTTTTCGCCGCGGAGCGAGAATACGACATGGCACAAATCAGCCACCATAAATAACAGTTTAGGCAAAGAAGCGTTGAATATTGGCCTATCCATTGACATTGTAAACAGAATATACTCTACGAATACCATTCTTCGTTTCTCATACAACCTATAAAATAATGATTGTATTAGTAATAGTTGTTAGTAACGGTATCACTATTCGACTGCACCGACCTTGCCTTGTGACGTCATCGGGTTTAACATTAATATAGTTCTCGTCTGCTGTTCCCAAACCATTCTCCAAAAGTCGTCTACAGTGTTCACCATGGGGGACTGAGTGGCGATGTACACTTTCTTCTCACCCATATAACCCTGGTAGAAACAGAATACAGATATGTGAATGAGAATGCATAATTTTGCAGCTGACAATTATGGAAAAAGGAGTATAGCACTGTTTGATATCCCTCTTGCTTTTAACATTAACATTGAAAGATCGACAAGTCAATAGATGATATTTAGGGTGGTCAAAGTTAAACAAAACACAGATAAACAAAGCTCCGCGCGTCCAATGCTCTAATTAGTACAAATATTGTCAAGTGTACAAATAAAATGATTTAGCCAAGTCAAGGAAATTATTCTTGTTTTGAACATTTTTAGTTCGTAAAATTCCAAATGCTCCAGAAAACATCCGGCTGGAATTCGAGCTCTAGACCACTGATACACAGAATAGATTCCCCGACACAGCTGTCAGAGGTTGTACTTATAGTAAATTAATTAATTAAGGTGTGCACTCAACCGAACATTACTTGAAAATAGCACGTCAAATAAATATAAATAAGTTCTAAAGAGACCTCTCTGCAAGACCAGTGTTTTTACTGAATCAATACAATAGATATTAGTATTTGAGAAGAAGAAAAAAACAGGTTGCTGTTAAAAGTTATACTTACATCTACATAATTTGCATTGATATATCCAGATTTGTTTTCCTGAGTTTTGTTCAAATAAACTCTGTTGTGTTTATCTAAAATTTAAATTATAATTATGATCAGACATATTTTCATCATTTACATAGTAAAATATAATTAATGTTTTAATATTGACAATAAATATGTGTAAATCTGATACGCGATTTTGTTTGGCTTGAGTTTGTTGCGCAAATTTGTTTGGCGTAACTTTGACGCACGACTTTGTTTGCCGTAAAGTAAGTATTACTAAGGGACTTCACTGGTAAAATATTTCCCTTTAGAAATACTTAACTCGCGATATTTCCATAACTTTGTACTGTTTATAATGTTTGTAAGTGAACTTATATACTAAAACTAAACACCCATCAGTACAGTTTGACCAGATAACACAGATGTGCAAAGGTAAGACACCAAGAGGGCTATCTCTCAAAAAGTCAAGAAATGGGCATTAATATTTTTATAATGTTTATACCAGTCAACAGCAAATATGTTATACATACATACATGCAACATTACAATTTAGTCTACATTAAATGGACATAACTTACGCGGCAACACATTGGCAAATCTGTTCTTGTCATCTTCACCTATAGGGATACTTGATGATTCTACATCATCGTGCGGTATTTCCTGAAATATATTTTTTAGACTTTTAGTTACACGTCACCTGTAATTTTTTGCGGCGACTTTTCAGCAATACTGTCTTTACTGTGGATTCTCTATTGTGTTATTTGTGTCCTTGTGCACAAGAATTTACATATAACACGCATAAAACACATATTATCTTGAAAGCAGAGTGCACACAAGAAAGAATAAAGTTTGATTTCTTTTTACATTGAATCGTCTGTCCACAGATTTCACTGTGTTGATCGTCTTTATATCGGCATGAATGCCTCGATAAGAAAAATGAGTTGCTGTTTGATAAAGATTGCGAGTGGTTTTTTTTTAGATATTTTTCAGGATATGTTTTTCTTTCTTTACAATACACATTTCACGAGCTTAAAATAGTTAAACATACAAATAGAACTTACCTGGAATTCTGAGTAAATAGCTTTAGTATCCATACAGAAATTTGCTAGTCCTGAAAAGTTCAGAATATGGGAATGTTCTTCTGGTTCGGGCTGAAAATAATGTTTAAGATACACTGAGTAAATTATCTACAATGAAGAGAATGTTTTTATATATTGCCTGTGTAACTTACAAGCAGTACAGCGCACTCATATAATCCAGAAAAAAGGTAGGTTCGATCCCAGCGGTTGTGAAATTTTGTTCAGATTTCTCAATGTGATTCCGTTAAAGACTTTAAAACACCCTAGGTAACAGGAATTCGACGTAATATACAACGCTATACCTATGTCTTGAAACCTCTTTTCAAAGACCAGACCTCATTGGACCAAATGTTAATCCAATAAAAAAAATATATGCGATAAGAATGGTAATGTAGATAATATATATATAATTCTAACACCGAATCTTGAAAGGGGACTGCTTACTGCAAACCAAACTTATTGAGAGTTTGTTCATTTGTAATATTGGCATAGGAAATCCGAGATAGTTATTCAATAAATTTTCTATCTTAATGAATATTGATTTTAAAATAATAAAACACAGGGGGCGTATTTACCAGTTCCAAAGTATCATCTAGAGCCGGGTTCCAGTATCCACTACTTGGTCGTGATTTAGGTATCACGCCTAATGCCACGTGGTCCATGCTCTGCAGAGAAGCACGGTGGCCAATAAACTGACGCTGTTTTCTTTTGGCTTTTACCCGTCTGTGTATCAAAACCTGTATGAAATTAATTAATATTACCATAACTTAATGATCATTTAACTATGCTATTGTCTGTACATAAAGAGGTTATATTAAATCTGTGCTCTTGCTTTCATTCAACGGAACATATTGGTGTCATAATAGAAAAACGACGTCATCATAAGTGATCAAAATGTAATCAGAAAATACATGACAAATTATAGTCAAAATATATTCATTAGCATGATGATGATGATGATGATGATGATAGTGATGATGAAAATGATGATGATAATGACAAAATATGTTGATAAATTTACGACAACCTGGAGAATAATGAGCGCTACGCAACATACTCCGCCCATTGATGCAAGTACAATCACCATAGTAACGTTTGGAGCTTCCCGCCTTCTTTCTGGTCTCGCCTCCGGAAGTAGTTCTGGTGGTTTTCTGTTCACTGTATGCACAGACACAAGCTACAAAAAGTAAAACAAATTTTTAAAATTAGTTGACTGGATAGTCTCTATAATGTGTTTTTGTATGTTTAGGTCATATAAATACATGTATGCATTCAACTTGTACAATATTAAGTATAGTTTGATCGTCCGATAGCATTTTAATGTATGAACAAAGCGCACATACGAAATCAAATGGCAAAGTGTAAAAAAAAAACTTATAACAAAATTTCCATTCCCCTGAAATTAAGGAATGTTAAAAAATGCCTGGTGTTGACTTTATAGATTATGTCTTTTAAGCGGTACAACTCCAGTTAACCAGTTATTGAAAAACGTGAAAAATATGCCTACAATAGATTTTAAAAAACACAGAATTGAAGGGAAGATTTATAACTAAAAAACGACAGCAGCGACATTTCTTTTGTTTTAAAATGTTTTTATAAATATGTATCCATATTCTTTATTACATATATGACATAAAGTACGTCCACAAGGAGAATGCCTCTATATCAAATTAAACCCAATCCTTGTTCAGTAGGTTATGTCTGTATCGTGTAAGTTATTATTTGTAAATGAACATGTGAAATTGTTTGATGTTTGAAATAAACTATGTTTAAACTGCCAACTTTCAAAGTTTGAATATATTCTATGAAACAGATTTCAATCTGGCTATATGTCTAAATGAAAAATGTTGCAAGTCCTTGTTAAAATGACATTATGTTCATTTTTAGTTGTCGGTTTGAGCTAAATTGGCTATATACATGTATTTAAAAGATAGATTAATATAATGGCCATTGACCAAAAATGTTAGCTAAAGCATAAAATTTTAAAAAAACAACAACAGCCCAATATGTAAAAAGATCGCCAAACTCTTTTTATCAATTGAACGTTACATTCCGATCCACGGATATTTATAGGTTTCTTTGAGTTGCTTAGATAATTGATTAAACAATTAGACGCAATTATGCCAGAATCTGAAGTTATTTTGACTTTGACTTGTACACCTACCATTTATACTTTGATGGGCATAATGTCACTGTAATATATAATAATTATTTTATGTCTGTAAAATTTACGCTTATATTGTGAAATATATAAAGTTCTAACCTTATCTTTCAGAAAGTTTGACTGATGGAACCCTTTTAATATGAAAGAAGAAGTTTCTGTTGTCAGCAAAATGTCTAACTTGCCATCATTGTCAACAAAGTACATTTTGATAGTTATAATCTGTATGTTCTCCCCTTCCATTGAACTCGGACCATCCTGAAATGAAATGCACATACTTTTAATATTTTGTTATCATGTTTTCAGTAAGCTTTCCAGATACCATCCTTGATCTTCTTGTTATTATTTTTAAGAAAACAAACTTTTAAGAAAACTGTGCTTTGCAAAGGAAATTATCATCGATGAAAGACTATAATAAATCCAGCAAATGGGCTATCAATTCCACACACACACAGGTGTAATTGCTTCATTCCAATATTAACATACATGGAGTTAGTATCAGGGTAGGAGGGACATCGATAGGAAGCAGAGCTGCATTTCTGGTACTGGTACTGCAGTACGTACTGCAGCGATTTTGCAAGTACTGGTACTGATACTGAATTACTCTCACAAAATTTTGCTACTACTGGTACTGGTACAGCATTACTGTCTTAAAAAGTGGTACTGCTACTGCATTACTAGGCAGTACTTTTGGTTTTGATAAAAATAGCATTACGTTATTTTATTTTTATGAAAAAGCAAGTTATCAAATCTGTAGATAATTTGCTGCAATATTCCTTCAAATGTTAACATTATACAGTATCATAAAAAAAGCACCAAAGACTTTAAGTAAAAATTAAATTGAGATAAACAGACTCAATAACTTTTATCCTAAAATATCCTTATTAAAATCTTTTATTACTTTGTATTTACTAGTAAAAGAGTAAAATAATCACTAATTGATAGCTTCTATTTTAAATAATTCTATTTCAAGTGATATTGTTAGCACCATAAAAGTTGTTATTTACTTTGGTATAAATTGAACAGAGGTGTGAAGGTGTGAAAGGCAACAATAGACTGTTGTGTTTTAAATGAAAGATGATTGCATTGTATTACAGATGACTGGTTACTAAACAATAAGATATGACATGAATATATGATGTAAATATTGTTTGTAAAAAGTATGTTAAAACTATAAAGTTGTAAAAATGTTATGTTAACTTTCAAGTAAATTATGATTCCATTTCTTTGCTGAATAATATTTGCAATTATTTGTTTGACACTGTGTATTTTATAATTCAAACTTTGATGAATATATAAATGTAATGGTTCTGATACTTAATTACTTCACCAAAAAAGTACTGGTACTGCAGTACCGAGCTAAAATCTAGTACTGGTACTGGTAATGGTACTGCATAATTTGCCAAGTACTGGTACTGGTACTTAAGTACTACATCCGTAGTACTGATGCAGCTCTGATAGGAAGTAATAACTGTTAGCCCATGTATATACTATGAATTGTCTAAAAATAAATGTGTATGTTTGTAATTGTATTGTACATGTACGTGCAATAAAATATCCTTTAATTTAAACTTGATACTATACTTTTAAAGGTTATTAGGAATGCAGGCGGACAGACGCAATTTAAAGAACGATGCTAATAACTCAAAGTAGATGTTGGTCATAACTCGATCAATTAAAATAACGCTTGTTCTAATATAAAGGAGTTATACAATGCATAGGGGACATTTCAAAATGAGGGAAACGATTTGGTCCTTTTATAATTGAGTATAATTCTACATGTATAGATGTTCATTATCAAAACCATCTGAATATTGGTGGGTCCATTGATTCTTACAATAATTTATTATTGTATAAAAATACAGACTCACCTCTGTAGACAGAACAAACTGTTCGTCGTCAACGATATAGCCTTTCTCAGAGAGGATAATTTCTCTAATTCCTGCTATAAATTCTATTTTCGATGTACGAAACTGACTCCAACCCATCTTCAGTCGGATCTCAATATACACTGAAGGCTGTGTTGACGTCTCTAGTTTCTGAAGTAAATGAGCTCGTCGTTAATTATTCATATTTGGTAAAAAAGAAATAAAGAAAACTGATGGTGAATCTCGCGAGAGCAACAAAAATCAAGCAACAGACGAAGCATATGAAAACTGTCTTTGGATTTATGGAAAAACTGGTTTAAAAATTCGAGTCTTACAATGTGTATTCAGTTGACACGATAGATTTGTTCCCACGTTAAGTATTGGCTAAATTGATACATAAAGAATTACAACTTTTTAAAGATCGTTCTCATGACCAACAGTTGAAGCGCGACGCCAAAAATGGAAAGAGTTGAAAATCAACAAAGGATTGTTGTTTTAATGCGGGTGAAGATCATTTCACGAAAGATGCACCTTGATTATTTTTTATACGAAACTGGATGGGAAGTTAAAACTGACCATTACAAATGCTGTCATTTTTAACTGATAGTACCTGTGTTGTAGCCGGTCGAGCTGTTGATGTTGGAAGTGTTGTTGAAAGTATGTGAGGTGCGGTTGTTGTTGTCGTTGTTGTTGAACCAACACTACTACTTGAACTTCCGCCCGCAATTTCGGGTTTATCAGGTTCTACAAAAGATACAGAATATTATCATCAGTTTCCGCCTTCTTAAAATGTATTCTGAGTGTATATAATTGCATAAAGGATAGAAATAAACTGACAGTTAAGTTCTGTTTAATAAAAAGTGATGGTCAAACGGAAAACTGAAATATTTCCCAAAATGACAAAATTGTTAGTTTCCAACGTGCCTGAATAAAAATAATGAGTGTTTGCCTCGATCTATGTTTGTATATAATTGTAGATAATTTCGTTCTTTGGTCATTGCTTTGTAAAAGTCATCAACATTTTATCCTACTTGCTCGTTTGGCACATTTATGAGAGTTTCCAACTAAAATGCAGTTCCAGACTGGAACATTTGTCTTAACATACATTAAATTTGATATGTCATGGTAAATTTAATTCTGATACCACTGTCAAAATGCAAATATTGTTGATAATAAAAGTTGTTCAGATAAAGGAAATTAGATATATCTAATTGTATCAGACAAAGATTAGCGAAGCATTTGGCAAGTTGCATTTGGTTCACTTCGCTTCGCTAATAGACTATTTCTATTCATTATAATAAAACAGCATAACTGCTGTGTTTCTGAAAGGATGTACCTTTGTCAGAATTAGGTTTCTTTTGTGTAGAGTGAGAAGTAGATACAGCTGGGGTTGTGCTGTGCTCAACCTTCTTCTTTGTTGTAGGGTTTGAAGTTAACATAGGAAATGTCACTGATGATTGCGGAGACTGATGAGCCGAGGTTGTAGTAAGGACAACTTGAGGAGTAAGTTCTGAAAATGAATATAACATCAAAGGTATATACATGTACAAGGACAATGTCTTAATAAAAACATAAATTTTTCGGAAATGAAAATATAGACAATCAAAACAAAAGTGTTATTTCTTTTCAGATTATCCCCGAAAAAAGATTATGAAGAAAAGTCCGATAATTGTACACAATAAACAATGTTTAAAAAAAAGTTTTATAAACAAACACAAAGAATATATATAAATAAGAAGAAATTGGATTTTAATTATTCCCCTATTCGCTCCAACATCAAGATACAATAAGTTGGGTACCGATTAACTTCATAATTTATTATATTATGTTGTTGTGTAAAATCTTTTTTAAAAGGATCTAAATCAATTTAATATACAACAGACCTTGCGAAGACTGCACTGGCATAGAGCTTACTACTGGTAGACGATGATCTGTATTTGCATGTATGGCTTCACTAGACATATATTGTGTTTGTAGAACGTTCTCCAAGCTAGACTGCACAACTGTTGTGTCTGTGCTGGAATAAACTGGCGAATCATGCCGGCTTGTATCTGTCCTGGAATGTATCTGTGAGGCATGTGCACCAGCATACCCACTTGTGTGAAGAACTTCACTAGATGTTGGAACTAATGGAGGCATTGAAGATGTGATAGAAGGAGATCCATCAATATTATCATTTAAATGTTTAGTTATACTGCTGCCTACATGTCTAGATGATTGAGTAGGTACGATTGATTCTGAGGGAACAGCGATACTTCTTTCAATACTTTGTGAGTCAATGTTTTCATCTACTGTTTTTGTAGGGAATATGCTGTTTGTTGGTGTAATGAATTGATCAGGTAGAGAAGTTCTAGTATTTTTTGGAATGACGTGTGGTTGATGAGTTGTACTAGTTTCAAATAAGAGAATTGGTGTTGTTTCTTCTAAACCATCACGAACTGATTGAAAGGCATCAGTAAATTGAACATGCGTGACAGAGTTTGATGGAAAAAGTTGTTCTCTTGTTGCTGATATTGAACGTGCTGGACATAACATGTTGCCCGTTTGGATGCAGGTATGTTTACTCTCTGAATAAGTTACGGTGCTTGAATGCAAAATGTCCATGGTTTGTACAGTTTTATCGGTAGGGTTATGAACCGAATTTTCATACGCACTACCAGGAATAGACGAGCTTGCTGGAAAGTGATTTTCAGTCGTAACTGAAGTTGATGTTGTTGATAATGATAATAAAGGCATGTCCCCGCTTTTCCTATCGCTATCCTTAGGTAAATTCTTATTTGGTTTAATCGCATTGTCACCGTAGATTTCAGGTAATTCAGTAACGAACTCAATATGACCTTCACTCGTTGTTGCATGTGTTTCCTCAGAATTATTGTTTTGACCGTTGTTTCCTTGGTTACCACTTTCCCCAGACTCTCCGGGATTAAAAGGACCTTCATTACTTGGTTCAATATGTTCACTCTCACCATTATGGACGGTGACTGTGGATTGTGGTTCATGAATGCTACTAGAAATATCTCTCTCTTCAGGTTCTAGGTTTGCTGGAGTAGGAAGTATTATCCGATTTGGTGTATTCATCACAAATTCAGTTACAGGTAAATTATCTTGACGGTCAGGTGTCCTAGCAACCGGATTAATTGTATGCCTTGGATGTCCAGGTTCGTTATTTTCTTCACTATTGCCATTATGTGGATGTTCACCTTTATCTATCGGTACATCAATGTCGTTACCATTACCTACTGTTTCACCATGCCCATTTAGATGCCCATCGTTCTCGTGACCGTGTTCATGTACATTTGGTTCTCTAGAAGGGAGTGTAGCAACCTGGCCTTCACTTGTCAGAGGTACTTCGGTTGTTGAATCTTTGTCAGTATCATGCGAATTGACCTGTCCCGCCAGTTGAGCATTATCAGTATCCCCTCTTCTTCCATTGCTTTGGTCTGTTCTGTCAATAACAATGTCATTGTTATACGTACGCATAGGGGAGGAACTTTCAGTCAATTCATGACTTGACATATTTGAAAGTCTTACTGTAATGAAAGGTTCGGGTGTAGGGGTTGTAGATGACGATAACGTTGTCGTGTGCGGTGAGGTTGGTAATTTTGTCGTTAATGTATTTGAATTATATTCATTATCAACATTTTGAATATCACCACCCATAAGAAAGCCATGCTGGGCTCTATACCCTTCCGATGTAGTGTCCATTACTTGACCTCCCATTAAAAATCCGTGGGGATTCTGGCGATCTCCTGGCGTATTTGTACTGACAATATTGCTCGTATGAGGAATAAGTTCTGATTGCTGCTCTCCTAGCGTACTAGCATTAACAGTATGCACTGCTCTCCCAACAGCATTAATTACATACTGGCCATCCCCATTAGGCCTTGTTGTTGAAAACGTTTCTCCACGATCCTGCTGCGCTGAAGATGAGTTATGATTGTCATTCAGACCACTTTGAGATTGTACATTCACATTATCAGAATCAATATGTTCGTCCGGAATATTTTCATTTAAAGTTTCTCCACGACTAATATCAGGTTCTAAATTTGGTTCACTTTGGCCATTCGGGATGTTGTCAATGTCAATGTCGCGTATATTACCATCTGAGCCAAGGTCGTCCGATGAGCCAGTAGGGTCACCGTTGTCGCTTCTGTTGCCATGAAGATTGTCTATGTATTCAACATGACCTTGAATATGTGCACCTCCTCTTTCATCTAGAGGAGACAAATGTGAAGTGCCGTCGTCAACTATCGGATCACGAGAGCTGTCTGTACCATAATCGTCACCGTCATAATCCTGAAATTTCAATCGGAATAATTTTTCAAACACCTTTTTCTGCTCGGTCACCAGCCAGCCAGTGGGGCTTTTTAATGTATATCTTAAGCTTTATAAGTATATCTTAAGTTTTATAATTGTACATCTAAAGTTCTGTACGTTTGTTCAGTAAAACCAAAACTGATTAACTGTTTACATGCACCCGTGACTGGACAAATTCAATTTGGCTGATATGAAAATAATTGAGTTTGCTGCTTTCTGAATTTTTCACACTTTACCCGTTTGAAGCATTCAACGTTTCACGTTTCGTGTTCTTAGTTAACAATATGCGGACAACGCAAAATGAAATAAGAATTTTTTTTTCTTTAAGTTGGGAATTTCACAGAAACGTATTTACAATTTTAAAATACAACAATCAAATTGAACACTGATACTACATGTGTAGAATTGAAAACATTGCAAGATATTGAAAGCATCTTACCTCATGCAAGAGTGGGAGATCCTGAACATTTGATCGCTTCGATCTTACGGGAATTGCTAAACTTCTTGAAATAAGCACCACCACTGCAAAAAATATATTTCGTTCAACAAACAAAAATAAAATATGTATTGATTGATGTTGGATAAAATTGGTTATGTTATGCATGTGTTAAATTTATATGAATAATTATTCAGTATATGTTATAGTGCAATGCTCGCCTTTTTTTAAATCTCGTATGAAGGCATTGCAAAATATTCCAAGACACGTAATTTAAATCACATTTTGGGACTATGTATGATGAGGCATATTTTTAAAATAGTGTTATATTTTGATAATAGTTTAATATAACCATATAATACATATAAAATATTAATAATACTAAACATGCCCATATAACTATACAGTTAATCCATATAAACTATAAAATGTTAAAATGAAAAAGCCAAAGTTATTGCAACAATGCTAAACGGTCCTCCCCACATTATCAAAATTTCAAAAAACATATAGGCTACATTATGTATTCGATATTACATTTAAAGCAGCACGCCTCCAGATGTCAATTTTCATGAAAATTGTAGAAATGTATTTAAAAGTAAAATATTGTGAGGTGAACAAATCATGTAATTTACATATTGCAATCGACACTTACAATCCAAGAAAATTACCAAAAAGGGGTCATCATATGCAAAAACAGCTCTTACCGCGTTAGTAACGCAGTAGAAATATGGTGATAAAATACCGCAAAATCAGTCTTAAACCACACATAACATGTAAAATTTAATTCAAATCTTGACTGTTTTACCTTTCTTAAAATGTTAGTACATTTTTCTTAATATTGATACATGTATTCTTGAAATATTTTTGCTCATCTGGAGGCATGCAGCTTTATTTAGGGATAAGCCAACCTGCTCTGTTGTAAAGTAACACAAGGAAACTGATACCATATTTTGTGCTAAATCTCAACAGTTCAAAATCTATTTATTCACTTGTTACTAGGAGTATAATAGGAGAAAAATTATTCTTAATAATTTTTGACTCAGAAATCAATATTTTTAATTATTTAGAAAGGGCAGATATGTGTTTGATAATATTTTGATTATGAATTTATTGCACCTTAGATGATAAACAACTACATAATGTAGTGTCGAATGTGCAATAATGTGTTATAAAGGTAGCATAATGTAAACAAAGAAGTATTTTGGAAACTGTAATAACTTTTAATATATCAAAATAAAAAGGTTTTGAAACAATAAAAATGATAGCATTTGGGGAGTGAAGGGGACTTTAATCGACTACCGTCAATATTTAATTTACAGGAAGAATGAACTTGAAAAATGTCAACCTACCTAATAATAGGTGAAGTATTTTATAAACTGCATATTTTTCCATTCTATCGTTTCGTTTTGTTGTCGTCTGCAATACGTCAGTTAGTAATTCCCCTACATTTTAATAACTTCCTGGAGAGAACAAAAACTTATTGTTAAAAGTCATACGTACGGTGGCATATATACGGTGGCATAGAGGTGACAGTATTTTTGAAGCCACAAGATAATAAGTCGTGGCCACAAGATAGAAAAAAGATAATGCAAATGTCACCTCTATGCCACCATACATACATGTGTATTTCTACATTGATATTACGCCTTGTTTATACTGCTACTCTATGGTATAAACAGAAAATACAATTTTTTGTATAAATACAGGATTTATTTTCATCGAGTGGTATGAAAATAAATATAGCATGAGTGGCGGTAGCCACGAATGAAATATGATGATTTTCATACCACAAGATGAAAATAAATCCTGTAAATAAATCATGTATTTATACAAAAACCTTGAATTTTCTGTTTATTATTTCTCCTTGTTTTACATTACATGACTGTGTACAATTTAAAAAATTTCCCAAAAAATTTGTGTATTTGCTGAAGTTAGAAGAAAGTAGTCCGGCAAGACATGAGTGAAAATACGGAAAATATGTTTCATTGTAGTGAAAAATAATTTTTTTACACTGAAGATACGGAAATTGAAAATAATTTATAATTTAAAAAGTATATAATAAACGGTGTTACAAAACTGTGTGACAAAATTTAAAAAAAAACACAGATATTTATAGATAGTATCGTATTTATTTACAAACCAACCTTGTACCAGTATCCACAACTTGTGATAAGATATGAAGTCGTAAAGTTGTTAATTTATTTGCATATACTAAATCCGAACTTAATTAAGAGGTTATACTATCTGTAATGACTAATTCATTATCGTCCCTCCATCCCCGAGTATTTAAACATACTTTTATATTTCTTTACCAAAATGTTTATTATCCTTTATCTTGTCTCAAGGGGTTGGCCCCCAAAACCCCATCAAGGTCAATGTATAATAACAACAAGTGCATTTCCCATTGAATTAACAATTTTTGATAAAGCATTTTTTTCTGCAAGAGGTAAACCGCTTAGACAAGATTCTTCGACTCTTATTTTAATACAGATTTGAATTCTAAATTATCAAACTTAAATTTAAATAAATAATGACTGCATATTTTTCAATGCGGGTACAAAAAGGGATGTTTAACTTTATTTAAACATAGAATTGAAACATATCAAAAAGATGTTCGTGCGTTACTGAAACGATACACTATCTTAATTAATTTGTTGTTTCTCCAGTTACAACAAAAGGAAACCCGTGATATGGTGTAGTTTTTGATGCAATGAGTTTGTATTGAAGCCTTGTGTTTTCCATTTACATTTGTAGTTTATAGTGAACAGCTGATCTCATTACTATGGAAGCACTGGAGGGCCCTTTTGACTTCTGACTTAATGACTTTTGACTTGGGAGTTATGACTTTTGACTTGGGAGTTTTGACTTTTAACTCAAGACTTATTACTTCTTAGTTGTGAAATTAATTAATTAAGTCACACTTTAAGAGAGCACGTGAGCAACGAGCGATGATGGCTGTGTTGTGCCAAAATATGAAATTCGTGTTTGCGTGTTGTTTTCTGTGCATTCTGTTGAAGATAACAGCTGGTGTGGTCCCAGCTTACCTGCCTTTGTCGTCTCCGAATGTTGATAAAGCATCCCTTATTGAAGAATATTTCAAACAAGTGAAATTCTTGGATTTTTGCTATATAAGCATTGTATTTTGTTGTCAATGCGTCAGCTGAAAAGAATCTTGAAGAAGTTGAACCTGAAACGTCGAGGTGTACATTTGCAATCGCATTTGAAAAACGTTGTTCGTGTAATTGGCACAGAAATGCATTATAGTGGACAGTCTGTCGGTTATCGGACTATATGGCGCCGGCTTAACGTGCATCATAATATGGATGTAAGCCATAAAAAAAAGATGTTATGGGCATAATGAAGGCAATAGATCCAAATGGTGTTGAAATGAGAAAAGCACATCGACTTAAAAGACGTTTCTATTGTGCAAAAGGGCCAAACAATATTTGGCATTAAGATGGTTATGATAAGTTGAAACCATTCGGATTTTTATAAACGGAGGGTGTTGAAATGAGAAAAGCACATCGACTTAAAAGACGTTTCTATTGTGCAAAAGGGCCAACCAATATTTGGCATGAAGATGGTTATGATAAGTTGAAACCATTCGGATTTTTATACACGGAGCGGTAGATGGTTTTAGCAGGAAAGTTACCTGGTAAGAAGTTTCTGACACTAACAACGATCCAAAACTGATTGCGATATATTATTTGGATGCATTGAAGCGCATTGAAAAAACACCTCGCATACTTCGTTGCGATGCTGGAACAGAAAGCAGTGTTGTTTGTCTTCTACAGCAGTTCTTTCGGAATGAAGCAACCGACCACTTTGCTGGTAGTCGCAGCGTTATTGTTGGCAGAAGCACTTCTAACCAGCGCATTGAAAGATGGTGGGGTACGCTACGTCAACACGGAATACAGTGGTGGATTAATTTGTTTAAGAATTTGCGCGATTCTGGTCGTTTCAATGAACTCGACCAGATACATTGTGAAAATTTGAAATTTTGTTTTATGAACCTAATACAAACACATCTGGATAAAATTGTTCAACAGTGGAATGTACATGAAATTATACCTCAGCACAATTCCGACGCACATTACGGAAAACCTGACATTATGTATTTTTTACCTGAAACGTTTGGCGCGCTTGATTATGGTACGGTGGTTGACAAGCGTGATGTGACCTGTTGTAAAGACATGTATTCAGTTCCAAAGAGAAAGTTTGACGAATTCAGCGAATTGGCTTATCTGTTAAAGTCCGACCTCCAAATGCCAGTAGATGCCGATTCAGCATTGAATTTGTTCCTGGAGTTGAATGATTTAGTGGCAAACTCGTATGAAGACTGACGTCTTTTTTAAGCCATAAAGTTGTTTTGTGAGAGAACAAATGATCAACACGATCCATCATTATCATCATCATCTACATCATCATGATTATCATTATAAGTATGTTGACTGCAATGATGATTGTCATGATGCTGCTCCTCGTGATGAAGGTTGACTTTATAATTTAAATAGTTAACATGTTGTTGATGATAAACAGAAGTTGATTTCGATGATAATGATTATAATCATGACGATGATGATAACTATATTAACGATGATGATCGTGATGATGTTGTAAACTATAGTATAATGTATTTTATAGTTCATAACGTACGTGGCATATGTTTATTCTTATGTTTGACAGTCAATTATAACAAACGAATTTGTCACGAAAGTCAAATGTTATTTCTACGTTCAAATATATCATGGCTCACAAAGGTCTGTTTGTAACCGTTAACGTTTCAGTCAAGTAAAACTACGGACCTGTGACAAGTGTAGACCCAGGTGTGCAGACTTACTAGGGCAGATATACTTAACTTTCAGTTAATTAGAATCTGGCTATTAAAATTAATTCACTGCCTCACGTTCATCTTTGTAGACCAAACGCCCTAGTACGAAACTTGCACAGGATATCTAGCCAGTACTACCGTATTCTTCCTAGTAATCGCCCAGGGCGCTTAGAAAATTGTGAAAGGTGTGCGCTTATTAGAAGTCCGGTCTTACAAAAGTATACAATATGTAAGAGTCACAGCTATGCAAATTCTGTTGATATCTCGTATTTAAAGTGGTCCCGTTTACTGTCAAATCACTACAATGGGGTTGAAATGTGAATATTCACAGTCTTTCCTTGTACAGTGAAATTTTCTAGGCCCGCGGACATGCATAACAATTTAAAATGTCGATTGTGGTCAGTTGATTTTTTTTCTTTTAAGACAATTTATCCTGGGCGCTTTACCACTTACAAATGGAAAAGAAGGGATGGGCGCTTATAGAAGCATTGGCTCTTACTAGAGAGAATAGGTAGTTATAGGTAGTAAGGTCAGCTTCAAAATTTCCAGGATGACGCGTTTGTAAAGCTAAGGACGTTTTAAACGATATTGTAATGACACTTCGTGCACAATGGTCTGACTTGTGACTTCGTATTTCTGACTAGAGACTTCCTATTTGTGACTTTTGACTTCTTACTTGTGACTTTCTACTTGTGACTTTTGACTTCCTACTTGTGAGTGGTGACTTCAAACACTTGTGGTCTTGACTTTATACGTATCGACCTCTATTACAAATGTATGGAATTAATATATGGTTTGGGGATTGGCAAAGGAACAGATTTTCAACCGCTATGAAGCTGTACGTGTATCATAAAATGCAACTAAAAATATAATTCAAGGGCTTGGTGCAAAACAGTTGTATCTCCTTCTTTATCTAGGTTAAGTTACAACCGTTTCGCAATAAGCCCTCAAAATGGATTAAACAACTAGACTTTTTCTAGCCCTAGTATAAAGCGCCCGTGTAGGGCAAGGTCATGCACCAAAACTATGATTTTTTGTTCTTATTCCACCAGTCCTATTTTTCTCTAGCAAATTTAAGATTGGCATAGCACAGCTTTGGATACGAGACACCAGCACACGGAAGGTGGTTCTTTTTGTTATATTTTCCTCTAGATGACAACAATATCATTCTCAGCAAAGCTTCAACTTAAGCTCACGCGAATTAAATACTACAATAAGAGCGTCATGGGCAGCACACACGTGTCTAGGGGTTGGGGTCATGGTGGTTACCAAGTCTGCAAAATTTCAAAGCGATATCTTAAGGGACTTGGAACATAATTGATGTGGTATGAAAAATTGGACAGAACATTAAACTAACGCCGACGCCCGGATGAGGTGAAAGCTCTCCTTATTCTTCGAATAGTCGAGCTATAAATTACAGGATGTAAAATCAAGGACGATTAACACAATTGTATTCTAAAAGCACAATGACAATATCTTTTTTAAAATGTTAGTATTTATTATAATATTGATTTAAAAAAGAACTTTTATTTAGCAATAAACAAATGAAGTAGAAACAAATCAGTGTTTCATTTCTTGGAGCAGCGAACTAGTAGTTGGGGGCTGTTTTTTCTTCTTTGTCTTACTATTTTTAATGTTGTCTATGACTTCCTTTATACGTTGTTTCCAATGTATGTCCTGTAAATTACAAAAAGATAAAATTTCAAAAGGTGCTTCATTTTGTGCTTCATTTTATCAACATTGCTTACCTGGTGTTTTAATAATTATTTAATCACTGTTGCACAAGAGATAGTATTTTGTGATTTTGTGTACTTCATGCAAACATTCTCAATTAATTGAAGTTTCAGAATTACAATTTTCTAATACTAACCATTAACGACACAAAGTATACTGTCATGAGATAATCAGATTACACATGGTTTAGTTGTTTTAATAAAACATAGCAAATATATTCCGTTACTAATCTTAATTACAAATGCCATAATTCTTATTAAGGGGAGGTAATTATGGGAGAACAGGATACATATCGGCAAGTCGATGACCTAAAATAATTGAAGATGGGAAGGTAGCGGGCACTTCAAACCAACATATTCTTTATTTGACCTAAGCACAATTACAAACTGAATCACTTTAGTTTAGAAGGACTAACTTTATCAAAGTTAATTCTTCTTAGTAAGCTTAAATCCAATGAATCTATGAAGCGAAAAACACAGTATTACGGAAAAACCGTTAGGGCCATCGTGGTTGTACGTTTATGTATTCCAGAGAGCTACAATGTGATAGTGCGACAACACGATGGTGATAGTACGATGACGACAACGCGATAACACGAGGACGACAATGCTATAGACTATCACATTATTGTCATCGTACTATCGCATTGTCACCATCGCATTATCGCACTGTCGCATTGTCGTACTGTCGTCATCGCATTGTCGCCATTGCATTGTCGCGTTGTCATCATCGCACTATCGTACTATCGTCACTGTACTCTCGTTCTATCGCCATCGCGTTGTCGCACTATCACATTGTCGCCCTCTGGATTATAACGTTCAACCATGATGGCCCTAACGGTATTCTGTACAGTATTATTGATAGCAAAGTTTGCTTTTTTATTATTTTGATTTCTGACAAGGTCTAGCTGATCAACAAGCTAGCTGAACCACTTATGGCCTCCTGGGTCTAGTTCTGGCTTTCAAATATAATATGCCGTTTTTTTTTCATCTGAGGAGGCATTTTTTCCCGTAATGTACAGTAAACTATAAATATGGGAACGTCGAATGTGTTTGGCCAACCCGAATCCAGTGATAAATCTAATTCTCATATACACGGAGAGGACCAGATGAATAACCTTGATGAATAAAATTGGTGTGTAATTGTATTTTATGCATAATCAGTCATTTAAAGAAGAGTGTTTCTTTGTTTTTTAGCTTTGTGAATGGTATTAATACACTTAACGAAATCGATCATTCCGACAACCTTTTCTATGTACATGTATATATTAGTGGTCAGAATAATTATGTATATATATATACTTGTATAGAATAATTACAACGATTCTTGTATAAACACTTATCATAGTATTATCATTTTATATCAGTAAATGCATTTTGTAATAATTCAATTTAAACAAGAAGCCAATAACTGATTTGGCATATATTTTGAAAACTCGAGCTTATCCGCAAGTATAAATCTTAGTACATGTACTTATAAGTTTCATTTAGTATAGATTGTTTGATTGATGGAAGTTAGACTCGGTTCCCCCGTGAGGCTTGAAAGGAGTCATTTTTCTCACATTATGGGAGAGTGTTAATTTCTTATGGTAAACGCATCTAGATCTCAGTGAACAAAAATACACAGACCGTCCAAACTGTATTGCCCGATTAGTGATGGATATGTATAACATCGCTAAATTACATTATTTAAGAAGAATATTCAAGCAAACTATAAAAACTTACATCATCTACCAATTTGCTGTCCGCCATGTTGCATCTCCTGGCTTAAAATGAGCGGCAATGCATCATCACAAATTACAAGTCACAACTTAGAAGTCACAAGTCATAACTCCCAAGTCAATAGTCAAAAGTCATTAAGTCAGAAGTCAAAAGGGCCCTCCAGTGCTTCCATACATTACAAAGATATTTAAGTAAATTTCTGATATTTTTAAGGGGAAATAATTTTTCAAAATGCAAAGAAGAGTTATGAAACCTGGCAAACAGACTCTTCAGTATCATTTAAAAGTTTAAGTTTAACCAGAAAACGTATTTGATTTGGTAAAATTGAAAGACTCTTTTTGCCAATCAAATAACTGTTAGAGTCTACCTTTCTGTCTCTAAATTCTGTAATAGAATACCTGAACGACTTTTAAAATACTTACGTCAATTTTATTTCAGAAAATTAATTCCATGAAACTATTTCAAACAAAAAATAATTGGTTTATATCAAAGCAAGAACGTGTTCATATAAATTTCAGGTCAGTCAAATAGTCTTTTACATGTGTATAATTAACATAAACGATTAATAGATAAATTGTGTAAGGCTTTATATCTGCTGCCTGTATTGAATTAGTAATAATAAAAATAATAATAATGAAATACATCATCATCATCATCATCATCATCATCATCATCATCATCATCATCATCGTCATCACCATCCTCATCACCATCATCATCATCATCATCGTCATCGTCAACATCAACATCATCAGCAAACGGTTGTCCTATATCAAATTTATCTTTCAATTATCATTTATGTATATATATAGTATACATACACTATACATGTAAAAGAACAATTATCAATACAATACGAACCTTTCATTTTATCCATAAGACTCCTTAATTATCACCAAGAGTTTGACTGTTATTATGTTTTCATGCACACTTAAGACTTCTGTTAACTTTAGGCAAATTGTTTCCGGTTACTATTGAGTCACGTGATCGGTAGTCGATCTGAACTTTGTCCAATTAGGGATAATCAGTCGCCAAATTTGTTTATCAGACATACAATAATTACAAACATGGTTTTAAATCTTTCAGATAAAAAATTTGTTATCAAGTAGGTCGCTTTAAGGAGGATGATCAACATAAATAAAAGTTTTTCAGTGAATCTGATAAAAATGTGATAAAATTTCATTTCACAATTTTCTACATTATATGATAAACCTTTAAAGGGACTCCACTGAGGTTTTTTTAGCATGACGGGACTGGAAATCTTTTTTTCGAGAATTGTAAACCAATGGATGTTGGTCTGAACCAAAAACTTGTTTGCAAATTTTCAGATCATTCTCTCGCCCCGTTTTCCCAGTATATTCATTTTCATTGGGCAAAATGACCTAAAAATGAAAAGCGTTGCAACGTTTTTCACTCAAATCGGACAAAGAATCACACAAATAAATTCCAAATATAATTCTTTATTAATCTTTCCAGATTTTTTTCCATTTAAAGTGCTTCGATTGATCTATGTAAAAACTTCAAATTTTATATTTTTAAGCTTTTTAACCGCAGTGGAGTTACTTTAATGCACTTAACCCTCGACGAGCTGATAGCGATAATCACAGCAATATACCATTACAGGATAAACAAGAAAAGCATTGATGCAAAGCATCAAAGGGCGTCCAAGCAAGAAATGCAGCAAGTGAAGATGAACTAGTACACATATGATGACAAGATATTCTTATAAACTACCAGAAATGTATACCACTTATGAATGAGCGGACGAAAGACATTGTTCATTATGAACTTTGATTGGCATGCTAGAGATAATAATATTACTTGTTATTTCTTTATGATTGTGGTTATTAATAGCAACGGATATACATGTATGCAATCATTTATAATCCATATGTGTAACGCATGATCAACACGTACCACACATTTGTCCCTTATTATGTACATGTTATCGCTATTAGCGAAGACCCCCTTAAGGTATCTGTTCACACTTTAAGTTAGTAAAAATATGACACTGGTTATATTACCATGTTGATCATGTTGAGCATAATTGTTTATTATACAATAATTGTAATATCTATTAATTTTAATTTAAAAAAAATACAAATTTTATGAATATTGTTTTCTTTTATTCTTTTTTGTGTTTTAAGTGCTATTTTAATACTGAGTTTTTACTACTCTTTTTTATTAAAATTGTAAAATAAATTTTAAGAATTCAATTGTCATATTGACCGACGATTATAAGTCAAAGCTTAACTGGAAAAAGTCAGTAAATTATGGTTTATCTTTCAATATATAATATTGTTTATTCTTAAACCATGTACATGTACATTGTATTTTTCTTTATCATTTTTTAAATTATCGATCAATTGAATAATTCATAAAATCTAATTTGTAACTTTGAATAATTCCTCGGCATCTTTACTAAACACGGATAACAAATTGAATAATTAAATAAAATGTTTCAAAGTTGATAATGTCATTTTAATACCATAAAAAATGTACCTTTTTCTCAATTATTGTACATATCACGGATTTATATTACATATAAATCCGTGTACATATTTATTGTTTTTATCTCATATAGATAAAATGAAACATGTTATTGTTGTTTTTTTCTAATTGTAACGATATCAAACATCTACTCCAAAATCGGGAGTGACCGGACAATATTAAAACGTGTGGTACTATTCGCCGGTCACTAGTAAATCCTGGTCAAAATAGACCGGGAGAGACCGGCATTTACCGATAGGAGTGATAAAAAGATATATCTATAAATAGGTTTTTGGAATATTTAGGTCATCAACTGATCATTCTAGGATACATGTACAACAATAACATACCATGATAACCGACTGTGTACTACAAAATGATTAATAAAAAACCCCGAAGAGCGCGATTTATTGACGGAAAAGGTTATTTCATTTGTAAATGTTTGCATTGCGAAAATTCATTGTAACATATCGCGACATTTCATTCTTATTTAATAATCAAGCACCCTCATACCGATCGGAATTTTCGGCTTTTATTATGACCGACTAAAAGGCTCGAGAAGTTGCTGTCGCCCTTTCACAAAATCTTATCTCATTCCATAAGAGCGCCGCGCTTCGGCGCGGACGCCAATCAAGAGCAGACTGCGGATATATACGGTTTAAATAAGATAATATGATTGTATAGATACCTTTCTCTCGCGCTCACTCTATCGCCTCCACTCCCCTACCCCTAGAGTCGCCACGCACACTCAGTCTTATTATTTTCATTTTGTTCTACTACTTGGAAGACGATAATAATAATAATTATAACAATAATAATGATAATGACGACGATGATGATAATGATGATGATTGTGATGATGATGGTTGTGTTGATGATGATGATGATGATGATGGTGACGATGATGATGATGGTGATGATGATGGTTGTGTTGATGATGATGATAATGATGATGGTGTTGGTGATGACGATGATGATGATGATGTTGATGATGATGTTGATGGTGATGATGACGATGATGATAATGATGATGGTGATGACGATGGTTGTGTTGATGATTATGGTGGTGATGATGAATTACACTGACTGTGTACGGCAAATGTCTTATAATTTTATTTTATATGATCTACTAAACTTGACCTTAAAATAAACATTGTAATATCATAGATATAGGGTGAATGACATAAAAACTGAAAATCATCTTTTGTTGAATTGTTATGATGCATCAGGAGCATTGTCCAACTATATACCTTGATAAATAGAGGATATTTGTTTGTTTTGCATGTAAGATTAAAATATAATTTCACTGAGTACACACCAGATGCAATATTTTCACGAGTGGCGTAGCTGGTGTTTTCCCCCAAAACCATCACAAATATCCATTTCAAACTTGAAATATTGTTTGAATATCAAGACAAAAATTTCATTTTAACAGAAACGGCAAATACGTGTATGAAATACACGGTCAACACGAAAATCGACAGACAAGCTTGTTCTTATTCGAAATGGGAAATGTTTTGGGCCATTTTGAAATCTTGCATTTAGCATTCGTATAGTACTCCTTGATCATTTAGTATTCCTCACAGGTTTGCCAATCCGCGGTCGGGTGTTAGATATGAGCGAATTTCACGATCAGCAGATATTATCATATTATATGAAGGCAGTTGAGTAAGCAGATGTCAAACTTAGAAAACGCACAGAAAATTTAGTACATTTTACCATTTGTCAAACACTATTTACGCTTGGACATTATGGCAAGTGATATTTTACTCGTCAAGTCGCTTTATACTATGATAGATTCTCGGAAAATTTCATTAAATAAGAATAGTTTTTTTAAATCATACTGTCAGAGTTCTAATCAAGTTTAAAAAATCTTGATTTTAATAACTGTCAAATAAAAACAATGACTTATAAAACAAAAACTTTAATATAGACATAAAAATTCATAGTCCTATTTTAATTTTACAAACCCATGAATCAGCAAATAAGAACCTC